TGCAAACATTTCATCATTCATTGCTTGGATATCTGCCATCTCATTAGCTTTTCTTATTTTCTCAGTTCTCCTCACCCCTGCAATTTTTATACAGAACTTCAAAAAACACGGTAAGATGATAAATTACTGCAAACCAGTTCTTTTTCATTTGCATACAGAGACCTGTATACAAACTCTAGTAGCATCTGCAGAGAAAGTTGTAATCTTTACGTACATCATGGCAGAAATTGACATTAAATTTTTTCTCTTCAAAATGTCACCAAAAATATACAATCAATTATGCCAGTGTCCTTTTTTCTGAGATGTAATTGCTTTGAAATTTAATACAACCATTTTAACATAACCATTTCTCTCAAAAAATGTATTTTTAAATTACTTTTTAATTTCTGGCTAATTAAAAAAATGATAAAAGTCACTAAATCCCCTATGCATTAGCCATATCATAAAAAAATTAAGTGTAGAACTGTAATGTTATTCAAATATATCTATTTATGTGTAATGATATAATAACCTAGTTCTTTGGATACAAATTATAAATATAATAATGAAACATTTTGTTTTACATTTATAGAGTACTTTTTATTTAAAATAATGAATTATCATTTCAATTTTTATAATATTAAATAGACATAATTAGTTCTTTGGAGAACTGTACATTCATATCCATTTTAACAATTTATTTTAATATTATCTATCTGAATGTTTTTGTATATAGAAAAAAAATCCAAGTTGAAATTCTTCACATAAGAAATCTATATTTCTCATGTCATTAAAAACACACTTCTTTTGCAGTGTATAATCTCTTTAACTTTAGAATTATGATTTATGACTTATGAGTTGCTGAAGTTTAAGATTTTTAAAGAAAAGTCTCTATTAATGGCAAATCTGAAAAATGAGTGTCTAGTTAATAGACATTGCCAGTTAACTGAAATGTGCAATGAATTACTAATACAGAAAATACATCACTTTAAAAATATTCAATGAACTTATTTCTGTGAAAATTAACAAAATATAAGATATAAAATGGTTATTCTTACTTAAAACCAAAAAGGGTATAGAATTATAGTGTGATTTAAATCAGTATATTTCAATAAGCATCAGAAAATCATCTGTGTTATTAACTAAGTTTTAAGTAATTTAAATTTTCCCAAAACCATTGGGGAGGGAGAAGTTAACCAACTCACACGCAGGTGTATTAAAAACATCTACTATAGGGTTTTACTGGTCTTTAAAGATACAGTTGGTCAATAAGTATTTATTCAGCCCCTTTCAGAAGCTCAGCAGGCAGCTGGAACGACTGAGGCATATCACACAGCCTCTCCCACCTGCTAGGAAGTGTAGGTAATCGGATGCACAGGTGGGGCTCACAGGCGCAGGTCTTAATGGTTGCATGCTGCGCTGGAGTTTTCCTGTATCATCTCCTGGATGAGCACTCATATGTAAGAAAGAGAAAGTCAGGGACACACGTTTGGTCCAGTAACCAGAGCTCTACACTTTTAAAGACATTTTGATTTCGATGAAACATAGTGTATGTTTAGCATCTGTGCATCTAGTTTCCCTCCGGCTTGCAGCTCAGGTAATCTGATTTCCGCGGAGAAGAAAGATATAAATAAAAACCACAATAGGGTATTTTCACTAATAAACTCTCACTCTATTAGTATAAAGTAGGAATAACTGCATGGGGCCTAAGTTGTGGGGCTAAGGAATGGAATGAATTCAGGTGAGGAGCTAAATGAGTGGATGATACCAGGCCCTTATTTTGAAATAATTTTTAAATAGTAAAATTAGTTTCCTGAAATTCAAATTCCCTAGGCCATTCAAAATGAACCTAACTTAGGTTTTCAAGGATTTTTAAAGTGCCAAAAATTTCAAACTGTTTTGTGAAGACTGAAATAGTAAAATTAGTTTCCTGAAATTCAAATTCCCTAGGCCATTCAAAATGAACCTAACTTAGGTTTTCAAGGATTTTTAAAGTGCCAAAAATTTCAAACTGTTTTGTGAAGACTGAATTCTTTTTTTAAACTGACAGTTTATATTTTAATATAAATTTATAAAGAAATTTTTGTTCTCTTAATCAAGTCTTTATATATTTTACAGACTGAATTAAACAAACTAGAGAATTCTTGACACAGAGACATGGAAAAAAATGGAAAAAAACCGAGAAGAAACCAAACAGGAGAAAAATAGACACTTGTAGCAAAATGATAACTAATCTCAGGTGACCCCCTGCACCAGTGTAGATTATGAGTAGTCTGGGCAACTATTATGGGCAACTCAACACTCAAACATTATTTTATGCCAACCCTTAGAAAAAAATGAAGTAAGCTGGTAAATTTCACAAGAGCCAGTGGCAAGTGGTATTGCTGGAACAGTCAGGCTTAGATCTGTCTGGCAGGAGATGTAAGTTCTTATTACTGTTATTCACTGTTTCCACACAATTCACAAGCTCCTTGGCGGGAGCTTGCTGCATGTTTGGTATTATGTTACACGCTGAGAAATCCAGTAAGCTATATAAGATATATAGTTCTTCCTTCAATACTATATATTCTGGTTTAGGAAACTGTATAGCACTTTCTTCCTTCTTTATCTCCATTCCATTGAGAAACATGGATTAAGTGCCCCCAGGTTTTTAGGCACTGAGGGTATAAAATCCTGACACTTGTCCGGTAGAGCTTCAGACATAGGACATATGAATTTATTGAAATGAGGTTGTAGCCATCTTGGATAAAAGCAGATTAATGTGAACAGGGGTCAAAGGAAGAAAACTAATATTAATTAAAAACACATTCTTTGTCAGAACTTCTGATTGACCTGGACATATATACCAAGCATAACAGTGAGAAAATAGTCTCAAGTTCTGAAAAACACAATCTCAGGAACACATATTTAAACACATGTGGAATTTAGTTAGAAAAATATGCTACATGAAATTGCTGGGAGAAAAGACCAGATTTATTCCTCAGGTTTTTCTGATGCAGAATAAACCCTCATTATGTTAAAAATACATATTTAACAGTTTATTTTTGGAAATGCATGCTAATTTTTACATGTACTCTTCACTTTAGTAATAGGAGTAATTACTTTGAAATGCAATAGGAAATTTGATGATCATTCACATTCATTAAAATGGGATCTATATGCAGACAGGATTGTTATAATTTAATTTAGTATTCTTATAAGAATTCACAAAACTTTCACACATTTCACTATACATCCCTAAAAGGAATAAAGATATTTGAAGACATCCTCAAGCATACTTTTCAGTGTTTTTCATAATATGTAGAATTAACTAAAATAAAATTCTGCCTTTTATGTGCTTACATTATATAGATATTTTTCTAATTATTATTAGTTTCAACTCCAGCTAGGTAGTTATCATTTTGACCCTAAACAGATGTTGTCTTCTGAAAGTATATCAATTATACGTATAAACACAGAATTGCGCATAGTACTTACTGCACACAGACAAACTCCTGCCTCTGGAAGCTATTTTACTATAATGATATAATCTATTTGTTGTAAGGTAAAAGAAATACTTAAAATGATACACTGTTAACTCTACTGGTTTCATAACCACAGGAATTTTGCCCGAAATAATTGTATTAATAGTGCATTTAAAAAAATAAGCAAAGCTTATAATAGCATATTAAATATAGTAATAAGAAATAGGAGAATGGGATAAATTAAAGCAAGTGTTACATATTAAATTATTGATTAGTACAATAATAATTTATCAACATGAAAATAGAAAAGGAAAATTTATTAAACATAACAAATCGATGCCAACTAAATAAAATTTTATTTTTATCAAGTAAATATAAAAACATATTTTTTAGGTAACATCTCAAAGTGGTACCATTTTCAGTCTATATGCTGATTTCTTTAGTCTCTGAGCTATTATAGTGGTTGCAGCCAAACCTTAAAAATGATTACTTTGAAGCAAACAACATATTTTTCATTCTGTTTATTTTCTATATAAACATAAAATAATTGTGATGGGATTCTATATTTTTAATCATTTTATTGTTTGAGCACATAATAGGCATTCTGAGAATAATGATCAACTGCTTGAGAAATAAATTAAATTCTTTGAAAATACTTGGCTGCACAAAAAACAGCTTATAGATAATGTCTTGGCTGCGAGCCACACTACTGATTTCTTAATCCCCCTTTTTATTTTTGCAAGTTGAATTCTGCACTCCTTCAAAATTCTGACAACTCCAAGTTTTAGATAAGACAATTTTCAATTTAATATGAGGGAAAAAAACATACACAAGAACCAAATAATGGCTCACATAACATATCCGGAACAGTTCCCCTCATAAGAATTCACTTGAGAAACACAACAAAGGATTAGTTTGATGCAGACTCACTAACATTGTCAAGCAATACCTTAAGATTTTTTTCAATAAATTATTAAGATACATAATACTAGAAATTGTGATATCTCCTAAGTCTCCCCTTATAAGTATTTAAATAGCTTCTATGAAACTCTGGAGTGATATCACTAGAAATTACTACCTTTTCACCTCTTGTAAATACAGAGATAGAACATGCCAACAACACGTTTTCTCAGAGTTCAACTTAACTATACTTCCTAATACAATTTCGTATTAATTTCTCAGTGGGAAAAAATGATGCAAGAATGTTATTACGATGTGTTGGATAGATTTCTGTGAGAGTGGCCCTTTCCTTAAGTCACGTTCAAATGTCAGCGTCTTGCAAAAGCCTACGAAGAGACCCTAAGTGAGCATAGGCAAAAATATTAAACAGCAAAATTGATTTAAAAATGCAGCCCTATCATTATAAATTCACTCCTCTGTTAGGCTTACAGAGAAATACATGATAGGAAATTCATCACTAATGTTGATAAATAAAAGTTTATCAAGCACATTTTTAGGTGTCTTTGTTGTGTAATTGAAACGTTTGTTATGGTTTCTCATGGCTTTCTGTCAAGGTTAGAGAGAGATCTAAAGCTGATCGCTCAGGTTAGCACTTACCTCATGTGGGTGATGAGGAGCGTTGTAGTGGGAATGAAAAAGTCATCCACTCGGTCAAACTGCTTTCCCACTGGCTGGGTGTGGATCGTGTGGTGCGGCACATTCCCACTGGCCAGGGTGATTACCTACACAGAACACACCCTGTTTAGATCTTGGCGATGCATTCCCATAACAGTAGCGGCTTTCTTTCTATTTGGAGGAGAAAAGAATCTCTGGCATGGACTCTTTATTGCTACTCAAAATTAGTATTTTATTAAACAAACTGAAATTCTGTAATTGCTTATTTTCCATATAGAAATTTATGTTTCTCTAAAGAAATTTAAAAAATAGAAAATAGTTTGTCTTGAACAATTCCTGTTTAAAATATAAAATAAATATACATATAAACAATGGTATTATAAAAATTTTAACTTTGTTATAATGAGAAAAATAAAAGCAAGCATGTATATGTAAGATGTTAGCTTTCTTTTATTTATTTATTTTTTGAGCTTTGATGATGTGTAATTGATGTACAAACAGCTGCCCTCCCATGGAACAGAGCGGGAAGCATAGCACTGAAAACTCCAAAATGAATCATGACATATTTTAGATATTAGAAATTCTAGAATGGATAAAATCTTATTTTAAAGTGTTTTCCTCCTATAAATTGAAAGAAAGTAACAGATTTAGTAAATTTTAATCAGGGGTTTCTTTTTTCCAACTATTCATATTAACTATTTTTTAAACGTTTATTGTCTATTAAAAAAGAGATAAACTGCATTTAAACTTTTATTCCTTATATCCCTTACACACTCAATTCTATCAATTCTTTTTTCAGTTTCTCATACTTCCACATTTTTATTGTCTCTGCTGTATAATGGTTGTTCTGTTAGTTTTTTAAAGCATTTTCTTGTCTTCTTTCCCTCTTTTACATCCTTTTTTTACATATGATCCACAAATTAAAGTTTCCAAAGTACTGACTCTCTAAGTCAAACATACTTCCCTTTTTCCAAATCTAGTGTCTTCCCTTCATTTTCATGACAGAACTAAATAGCATTTTTATTTTTAGGGGTCATTTTTTTTTTCCTGAAAGATTAACTTTCTTACAAGGGAGTATATTTTTCATTGAGTTCTACTGAAAATTGTCATATTCAGTAAAAATAGATTAATCATTATAAGTCGGGATAGGCTCAGTTAAGTTACAGTTAAAAAATAAAACAGGAAACATACCTTTAAGTCTCAGTGGCTTAGAAAATAAAGATTTGTCTCACATGTTCCTCTCCCTGAGGGATCTGGCAGTGCAGCCACTGTTTTCCCTCAGTACCCCACACTGAAGCAGCAGCTAGCTACCTTGAATGCTTCCATCCACAGAAAACCTTGTTTGTCAGAATAATCATATGGCTCCACTTAAGCAAAAAGAGCTCAGCATGTGCCCAGAGGAAGAGGCAACCAAAGTATCGGAAAACAGCCTTAAAAACACTATATCTATTTTACTAATGGATATCAGTGAGAAAGAGAAAGTCAGCTCTGGATTGTGGCCATTCATAATAATGTCTACAAGACTTTAATAGGGATCAACAGAGTAATAGAGACGGAACTCTCCAAATATTCTTCCCTTTGTATTGGATGGAAGCATACAACTCTCAAAATGCATGTACTTGTATTTGAAATTAATTCTTAGACCGACCTGAGCAATAATATTTACTGAGAGCTTGCTATGTGTCCATATGAGTTCTAGGTACTTTACAGGTATCACAAAATTTAATATCTAAACAACACTATAATGTGTGTATTGAATCCCAACCTTCCCAAACGTATATAATGCTAGTGAAGGTATATTAACTGAGTATCACTTGTGTGCTCAGCATAGTTCTAGGCTATAGGAGGCGCAATGCCACTCCCTAGTTCCCCTCTATCTGGAGTTTGTTTCCAGATGGTCCACAGTCCTTCTCATTGCTGGAATTGAGCAGGAAGTGATGGATTGCCATGCTCGGAACTGAGCCGACTAAATGCAAGGACACACAGATTGATCTGATGCACCGTAATCAATAGGCCTCGTCTTTCAACAACCCCTGCCTCATTCTTAATGGCATCCTGCCATTGGTCTCTCAATGTACAGTGCCTTCCACAGACTGAAAGCCACCATCTCCCAGTGTCACCCCATCTGGCCGTGGCCTGCTCCCTGGCCAGTAGCAAAATCTAAGGACTTTATTCTAAGTTGTTTCCTGGGAATATTTTCATCTCTAACTGCGGTACATTTGAAAGATATTTCATAGAAATTGTAAAACTGGGCAGTTGACAGACTCAATTTTTAGATCAGCGTTTCTTAAATTTTTATCAGGCATGACGTCTTTTAAAAAAATAAATAACTACGATGAATCTTTGGGAATTCATTTGAGAATGCTAATTGGAAACATTACTGTCTTACATACCTAAAATTACAGTTCTTGGGTTTTTACTAATTAATTGTAAATATAAAAATAATATATTTTGCTTTCATAATTGGCAAAGATTTGTAAATTTACCTATAATCAAAAGGAAAACACAAAGAATATAAATAGAGCTTTCTGATCCTTGATAAAATGCTTTGTTCCTTCAAGGGTCAGTGAGTACCATTATAAGATATACTGCATTAGTTCTGCCTGGTGTGGTTCAGAGGATTGAGCACCAGCCTGGGAACCAAAAGGCCACTGGTTCAACTCCCAGTCAGGACACGTGCCTGGGTTGTGAGCCAGGTCCCCATCGCAAGGGGCAGTGTGAGAGGCAACCACACATTGATGTTTCTCTCCATCTTTTTCTCCCTCCTTTCCTCTCTCTGGAAAAAAATTAATAAAATCTTTACCAAAAAAAAAAAGATATACTGCATTAGGACAAAATGCTTACTTCCTAGCCTTTACATCCAAACATCCATCTCTCTTTCCAGGCTAACCTTTCAACACTGTGGCACAGAGATACTCTAGCAAAAGTGAGAGCTGGCAATGTTTTTGGTTTGATGAATTCAATTTTTCCAAAGGAAAAGGTTTTCATTTTCAGAAAAACCTCTAATCCCATTTTCTGTGGGGATGTTTTCTGGTAAACCTGTTGGGAGACAGTTACCCATGAATATTTTGACATTTTTGCAGAGTCAGGTCTTTCTGAGCAAAGGGCACTGGCAAACTTGGGCAAAGGACAATGGCATCGCAAAAATGCCTTGGAAGCCAGAGATGCTGTTTTGCTCCTGAGAGATTTAGAGACTTTAAAGCCTTTGAGCCAATTACTGACATTCCAGATGACTGACCTGCCTCTCCCCTCCCAGGACAAGATATGTATATATTCCACAGTCATAATCTCTCTCTGTCACAGGAGAGCATGGCCTGATGGGCTAGCAGTTTAATAAAACTTAGGGACACATGTTTTCAGGGTCCTTTTCCTGTAGTACAACTGCGCCGCACGTGCAGGGTAACGTTAGTCTCCACCACGTCACCCCGTGGGGACTGTGGCTGGAGAACAGACACTAACATACTCCATGGGTATAGGATGGTCTGTTCTCTGATCCATAGACCCTGCGTTTTCTGTCTGTCTATCTAACTATCATCTATCATCTATGTATATATACATGTGTGTATATACACACTAACACACACATGTATAAATAAATCTTCTTGTATATGTTATTTCAAGAGTACTTTTCAGTTCCTAAATTTTATTTTATATTTTCAGGTGTGTCACTTACCTTTCACTCTCGCCCAGAAAATATTTTTAGAATTCAGTAAATCTTATTAGCATTTTTTTTTTTTTATTCAGAGGATAAGAATGCATTTTCAGATGGTTGGATAGTGTGTAGGAAGTTACTTAACACCTCTGCAATGCCTTTAACCCCTTTCTGTATACTATTAAAGATGTTTGCCTAAAGTTTTTTTTAATTCATACCTATTTATCTTCTTAAGATTATATTTAAGTACAAAATATCCAATAATTAGAGCCTATGGCCACAGGCAGGCCATCCTAGCAGCCACCCGCAAGGAACTCTGTGCCCCTTCCACAGAGAGATTGCCTCTGGTGCTCGGCCCCCTTCAGTGAGGCACGCAGTGTAACCTGCTTTCATCATTAGGCTGTGGGGGAAGTTACTTATGTAAATCCCGGCACCCAGATTTTAGGTGGCTTTGTGACTTCTCCTGTATTGTAACCTGGTAAGCACCATGCTGTGAAGATGGTAGTCTAAAGGCTGAGCAGGCACAGGCAAGAGACACAAAGCACCCGGCTAAGCGCCACCGCCACATGACAGACGTGGGAGTGAGGCTGTTTGGAACCTTCCAGCTCTTGCTATCAAATGACGTAAAGTAGCCTGCGGGTGGCCAGGTTGCCACGACGCAGAATTTGTGAGTGTTAAGTTATCCTTTAATTTTAAGACCTACTAGTTTTGAAGTGCCTCCATTTGCAACAATAGATAACTGAAATACTGTATTATATTTTACATGTTTCAAATGACAAATGTATCTAGTGAAACATAAAATAAACCATTAATTATATTAGTTACTTTAAAATATTTCATTTCAATAGACCTGTTCTTTACAAGTTAAATATTTTAATACTGAAAATACTTCAAAATCATTAAAAGTATTGAAGAGACAATTGATTAAAAATAATATTGCATTCAATAGGCATAACTGAAAGTGACCAAAGATTTATGATTTAGGACTTTGTAAGAAAAGACATGTACAGGGCAGTCTTATAATCACAGATGGCTTGAGAAATAGATAAATCATATTTTTTAGGGCCGAACATTTCTTCCCATTCTCTCTCTGTTTCTTCTTAAACTTATAACTCCAAAAATCTGTGTCAAAGAGTCATTGTCAAAATGTATACTGTACATTTTTTCTGTATTTGTCAAACTCATGTGAATAACTTCAAGACAGAAACAAGTTACACACAAGTCATACCACATATTTACCAATTAGAAATGAGCCTGTTCTCAAATAAGAAAATACTATCTGTTGTAGAAAAATGGAGACATGCTTTGAGACTCTGTCTACTTCTCCTGGTCTCTGTTTCATGTGTCCCACCCTCCAAGTCCCATTTTGGAAAGAGAAATCGAAATGTAAAAAAAATTCTTATGAAAATTGCAGGAAGGCAGAAAACTGTAGAAAGGTAAATTTGACTTTTCTTTTTTTTCCAACAGCCTTTGCTTTGTCATTATATGTTATTCTTCCTGCATATAAATGCCACCTTTGACAAATGTGACCTACAATATTTTCCAATCCCCCCCAAAAAGTACTAAGGATCAACTTTCTTTTACCTTTTTTTCTGTGCAGATCTAGATGTGATTAAAGTGCAGTCCTCAGACGGAGGAACATCATTCTTAAGTGGTTAGAAATACCCAATGACATAACTAAAGCTTTAAAGATCATTTGCTCAAATATACTGAAGTGGACTCACCTGTAAGGTCGGAGAAGCCTTTTCCATGGTGCCCCAGCTTAGCACCCAGACCTGATCATGTGACTTGTCATAGTGTAACTTAACTGGGACGGGGTCTGTGCTTACTGCCTGTAATAAATAAGGGTTGAAAAAAAAATATTTTCAAATGGAAACTTTAGCTTAAAACTAGGCCAGAAACTATGGAAGAATCAAGAGTTTAGAAGTCAGATTAAACATTTATGTTGCTAAATTTCTAATTTTCTAAACTTCTACTTCATTAATTTGGAAATGCAACACTTTACTCAAACATGTTTTTGCACCATTTTATAAAGTCTTAAGTTCATTCGTTACTTATGCAAATTGTGTGTCATGGAGAAGCTATTTAAAAACTCAAGATATAAGTGATTAATATGTACATTTTAAGCAATCCTTTAATACAAGTAAGAACTAAGTTTATGCTATTAGGTTTTTCCATCCCAATATTGGTTATGGGATTTTACCATTTGTAATGCTACAATGCCAAAATATGATACATGGTTGTAACTCTCATAACAGATTATCTATTTTAGTTTCCTTAGTGAGAAGTCTAAAACCACAGAAACAAGGAGAAGCAGGTTTTTTTTTTGTACCATACATGATATGGTAAATGTGTGTTTCTGCTAATATTTAGCATTTACTTAAAATAAAACTTCCAAAAAACAAATTGCTTCCAGGCAGTTATTTCACTCACCTTAATTTCAAGCTATTTATGTTACCAGCTAACCCCTTTTTAAAGTTATTTCCTGTAGTAGCAAATATAAATTTTGTAACATAAAACAAATTGTGTTCAATAAAACAGCTTTTATTTAATGTTGAAAACATTTCCTTTCCAAAGCTCTGTTCAATAACCTTAGACAAATTTCCAAGTTCTAGCTCATAATGTTTGCTTTTTCTCAGTGGGTTTAGTTAAGGTGAACTACAGATGTGGTTGAACATACGTAGATTTGTACTTTAACATGTTGGCAATTTAGTCTTACTAAAGTATTTCTTTTCTCAAACTTTTCCATTCACTTTATCTATACTTCGGATTACTGAAGTCATTAATAGATTTCTTAAAAGACCCATTTAAGCATTTTTGTATCATTATCCTCATTCCTTTCTTGCTGGCTAACAGAGTCATGGTATTGTTTTGGTACTGGATGGGCAGCAATGCTCTCAGGGAAGGTGAACATCAGAGATTTAAGCTAGTAACTAATTAATTGCCCTTTGACAAATACAAAGATTCCCAGCCTTTCCAGAGGTAAGGGGTAGACAAAGAGCATACTCTAGCTTATATGTCATAAACATTATTGTGACAAATGACTCCTGAGGATGATACTGCATTTCCATCAAAAGAGAAAATAGCAGGAGGAGCCCTCCTCCTACCACACTTTCTCTTTCTTCCTGTTTTGAATGTTGTCATATGAGAATATTAAGCCTCAATTTCCAAAGTCACTTTGAGGTCATAAAACAATACTTAAGAAGGAAAAGCCAACACTTTGAGGATTCAGCCAGAGAGAAATAAAAGGTGGCTGAATTCTTGATTATAACCTTGAGTTGCTGCACAAACCTAGAATAACTGTCCTTAGATTTAATGTTATTTGAAATAATTCCATGGCTTTAATGCTTAAGGAATAGTTAAGTATTTTGTTAATTGTACTCCAATGCATGCCAGATGTTTCATGTACTGATTGATAATTTCAATGCTCATATACCAAAAAAAATAAAAGCATCATTCATCAATAATAAAGTAATAAGATATCCTTTGATTTTTTTCATATTTTCCCCTTACCATGTTAAATTTGATCTATGTATGATTATAATGGTCAGCTTATTCTGCATGCAACTTAAAAATGGAATAATCTTTTTCAAATGTTAAAAATAAAACAGTTCAATACAAAAACCAAAACAACAATAACAAATCCTAATTGTTATTCAATTGTTCAGACACAGTTAAAAAAGAGCAAAGAGCTTTAAATACCCTTACATATTAGTAAACAATTTCAATAAAATTTTCCAGTTCTCACAATGTTCTTTTCTTTTAACCAGGCCCTTTCATAAGCATCATGTTATAGAGACATAACACTGTCCACAGGTTATATTAATATCCACATAATAGAGGGTAAGAACACTGAGACCCTGTCTCACCAGCAGTCATCTAGCCAGCGATCAGTAGGGCTGGAATTTGATAGCCTGCGCTCCTTCCCAATGTCAGAACCTCTCTGCACGTGAAAGGTCATCCCTCCTCGTTGATAGTTTAATTCCTGACGATGCATCATTATGTCACCTTCTTATTTATGCTTCATGTATAAGAAATATTCTTTTATCTTTTCTCTTTTTGAAGATGGAAAGAAACCCATGGGTCTAAATATATGCCGTATCATCTGTATGACACACAAGCTTAGTGATCAGTCATTGAGAGGATGTATACACCATGCTTATGAGCGTGTACTCCAACGCAGATTTCAGATCTTAGCATCTTCACTTAAATGTAAATAATATTAATAATAATATCATAGGGAGTTACTAAATTTTTCTGTGGCTCACTTTCCTCTATAATACAATGAAGTAATAACAGCAACTTCAGAGGTTGTTGTGAATAATAGATGAGGTAGTAAATATAAATTTCGTAGGATGCGCTTGGTAAATAATAAGCACTATGGAAACACTATTACTACTATTAGGGAAACTAATCGAACTAAAGGTATTTTTATAACAGAATCATAATGTTTTGAAGTTAGAGATGTAATACTCTTTACTTAGCAAATGATAAAACTAAGATTTAGAAGAGAAAGGAAATAAATGCAGTCTTTGTCTTTGATAAATTTATAGGCTAGAGGGTGAAAGAAGAACTTAAAATAACTTGATGCATGTCACAAAGTGAAAATAAGGACCAAAGGTCATGAAATATCAGAGGAAGAAATAAAACACAGCATGAGGGATAAGGCGGGCAGATGATGCTATTTAATTGAGCCTTAAAATATGAATATTTTTATAAATGGGAAGACATGCTATTTTTTACAGCTAACTTATGAGAAAATCTTCCATGAGATTCAGTAGCAGTTCATGATTAATTGCCTTCAAATAAAGTAAGATATATGTATTTGAAAGAGAAAAATATCCATCAATTTTCAAAACAACGTTAGGGTTTTAAAAATATCTGCTCAATGGTCTCACAATTTTTTTGAAAATGTTGTGTTTCAGCATTTCAAAGGTGTGGTATTGAATTCAGTTTATTTTGGTGTTCAGTTATAAAAGCACACTGGAACTGAAAAAGGTATGCAGCTGAAAATGAAGAAAAGTACATCTAACATATTTTATTTGGAAAATCTTTATCTCAGAGAAATTCTGTTTACAAGTTTTCAAGTGTGCAGATATAACATATTTTATGGAGAGAACATTTATATGGTTTTTGGCAACAAAATCATATAACAATGACAAAAATATTTCCAAATACTCTTCTTCAGGATAATCTTGCCAAAACTCAATTTTCAGTAATACATGTATATATAAATATATATATTCATACTTATATCATCCATATTTGAAGGAGATAAATTACATGTTTCATGTGTTGCATTTTACAAAATGTCTGCCAGCATGCTCTGGAAATTACTCTAAATGATCAGTAAATTAAAACCATTAGCTTTTTTAAAAGAGAAAGACACTATTGACACTTTTTAAAGAATTTTCTTTTCCCAATTAAACCTGTTTAAGTCTCTGTGTTATGAAATAATTACATATTTCTCCATATTTTATGAAAAGGATTGAAAAGATTCTATTATCCTTGACTGTTCTTTCTCCCATACCTCACATCTTTAGGACATGTGATTGGATTTGCCTTCCAAATACTGACCTTTTCCAGCACCTCCTGCTATCGCCATAAACAGAGCCTCTATCATCTCTAACCTCATTACATGATTTCTAGCTTCTAACTTTATACTCATCGACTTTCTTAATGGATTTATCAGAGCGGTTTTTTATTTTTCCTTTTTTTGGTAAGCAGTAGACAAATCATGACACTAATCTGTTCAAAACACTATAATGTCTTCCCGTATCCCATAAGGAAATTTTAAAAGTCCTTGTAATAACTACCAGGCACTACCTCATCTGCTACACCCCAGGCTTCTTTCTTAAACACCTTCACCTGCTACTCTCCTGTGGCCTCCAATTCAGATACCCCTAGCCTCCTTGCTATCCATCCAAGGAGCCACACGTGGTCTTTTGGAAGGCTTTTCCCCCAAACGGCCTTCCTCTAGATAGTTCAATGTCAACCTCATCCACACTTACTGTACTCAGAACTCACCTTGGTGAGACAATCTGACCACACTATTTAATACTGTAAAAAGACTTCATTGTGTGTGTTTCCCCTCATCCTTAGCTTTCCCAATCTCATGTGGTCTTCCTCTACCATTTTACCTTTTCCAACAAGAACAATGGGCAGGCGGTTGTCTTTGGGAGTAGGGGTTGGATGGGGCAGTGGAGAGCAACAGGGGGAAAAATTGGGACAACTGGAACTAACAACAATAAAAAAAACTACTACTTTACATATTATATAATTTGTGTTTTCAGTACTCTTTATTTTTATTTCCTTTTTTTATTTATTGTTCAGTTATAATTGTCCCAGCTTTTTCCCATTGCTCACCCCTAACCCATCCCCTCCACTCCCAGAGTTAATCCCCCCATTTTCCATGCCCATGAGTCCCCTTATTTTTCATCATCTGTTTCCATCCCGTTGATTCTACACTACAAGAAAGCAAGATTTTTGCATTTGCTTAGGCCCATGATATAACCTACACACTTAGAACAATACCTTGTAAATAGTTGTATTCAGTATCTAATTAATGACCCTCTGAATCTACTTAATTAGGAAAAACAAATTGCAAAATTGAGAATGCCAAAACTTATTATTAAAATAATCATTATTTTATTTAATAAAAACAATTATATTCTGCACCAGGTTTATTATGAACGCATTGTTTTATAAATGTTTTACAAATAAAAATTCTTTTTATTTAATTGTCACAACAATCTTTCTTTGAGATATGCACTACTGTTACCCCTTTTGTACAGATGAAAGTGAACAAAGGCTAGCAGTACCACTGTTGATCACTCCCTATTGTAAAACTCCCACTTTCAACATACCTTTACGTGCACTATGTGTTACATCAACATTCAACATACAGATGAATTCAGGCCTCCAACATTGGTCAATATATCTAAGGTTTGTAAAGTGCAATACGATTTTTTAAGACAAAAAGAACCATGAACAACATGCTAGAATTCCCTTCCCACAACTAGTATATTTCACTTCCCATGTGCTATATACACTCCATTTTGGAGACCATTGATATATGTACAGAGAGAGAGAGAGAGAGAGAGAGAGAGAGAGAGAGAGAAACCATTGATATATATGTATAGAGAAAGAGAAAGAGAGATTTTCTTCTAACCATCAACTATTCATCAGGAAAATCACATAAGTTAAAAGATAATGTTCAAGAATATATAATACCTAATCAAAAAATAACTAGACTAAAAAAGTTTTGGCCACAGGTAAGATGAAATAAATTAAGTAGGTCTTATGAAAAAAAAAGTGCAGTTGGGAAAAAGCATTCTATACATGCTCATTTTTCTTGTCAAAATTAACCTACTTAGAATCCTCATTTATTACTTAGTATAAATTTGCGAAGTTGTTTTCAAACTTTGCCTTGAGAAGCCTATGGCCATGAAGCATTTATAGCAGGTGATATGAACTCTCATCAAAATAGAACAAAGTTCAGCTTTGACCCACTGAATAATTCTGAAAGACATTGTTTAAAGAAAAGGTCTTGATACCTTTTCAAGATGTTTTCTTCAAGAAATTTCCTAAGTTGGAAATTTCTCTCCCATATCACAGACACTACCATTTTGTACACATAGCAGACTGTGCTTGACCTGGAGACAGTCAGAGAATTAAGCCACAATTATTTCTCCAAATATTTATTGATTTATTAAACATTTCCATAAATATATAGCAAATAACTAAATATTTTGTTGTTATAATTAATTAATGGTAATGATCTACAATTGCAGGCCCCAGATTCTGTATTTCTTAATCATCCATGTAGGTACCATTTTCAGAGTGTTATATTATCATAATAAATTAATTTCTTATTCTATTGTTTTGTAAAAATATATTTAAAATATGCTATAGAATGTAACAATACAGTTTTTATTTTTTGTAGCTTTATAAACATATTGATAGAAATATTTTTTCTTTAATATTTTAAAACATTGTTTAAGGATACAATTTACTTACACTACAAGTGCTTTTCTTTCCTTTTTCGATTTGACCTGTAAACCAGTACTCCCTCAAAATCCCAACATAACTATAGGCATATAAACTCATCAATATTTCCTGAGGGGATGCAACAAATATAAGAAATTTAAAATGCATGCTACACTGGTCATGACCAGTTGTACCAAATTCTAGAAAGATGGCTTATATTTTAAGGGTGAAATACTGGTAATAGCAACAAAGCTACACAGAACTTGAGGTTTAATCTTGACATAAAGGAGCAGTGTGGCACAGCTTGTTTGTCAGGCTGACAAGGAGAGTACCAGCTGGCTAATTAAGTGAACCTAATTTAAACTAATGATGTAGATTCTCAAGATAATGTGCTAATGGCTAGAGGAGACTGCTGATGATACTTAAGGATACTCCCGAGGTGTTACAATAAGCCACTTCTGCGTCCAAGCAGAACCTGATTTTGCTCCACAGAAGACAAAATGAGGTTAGTTGTTTACTAGTTAATCATTTATAGAGCAGAACTTTACTTATATGACATTCTTACAAAAATTTTAATAAGAGGAAAAGCAATAGCCATTTGATATTTAAAGCAACACCAAGGTTATAGATTCCATTTAAAAACTATGACCTTTGACTTTTAAACTACAGATAGAAATGATATCGATGCACCTACTGAAAACAAATACACCATAATGGTAATACTTTATCATGAAGTTTGTAAAATCCTATGTTGTCAAAAAAATATTTTTATTTTATTAATAAAATGTAGTAATTCTGTTTATTTTTTAAATGTTTAGGCCTAAAATATATAGTTAATACCAAGTCACACAGTCAATACATGCAAAAGAATAGTCAGAAATGTGAATTCTTAGGTAAGGTCAGTATAAAACACTAGGGATCTATTTTAATTGGGGTGAAAAAGAGAGCTTGAAAGGTTAAATATAAATAAATATAGTGTTCTTTTTTAAAAAAATTTCATGAATAAAGCATTTTGATTTTGGACTTCACTACTCCATTTCTATTTACACATTATAAAGACTTACAGTATTTTCTATCATGTTTGGGAGATGATTAAAATTTGATTATACTGTAATTGATATTGTTAGTTGCCTCAGTATAATATACTCATTAAAAATAAAATAAAATAACTCAAGTTACAGCACATAATCAGGGCGTCTAATTTAATTTGGATACAGAAAAGTGGTCAGATTAAGAAAGGAGGCTTTATTTTTACAAAATTAACTTTGTGTACTTTGCAATTGACTTTAAGAGTGATCTCTGCCCTTTGATATAAAGATTTAAATTACAAATAAAGCATTTCAAATGTAGTTTTTTAAAAGCAGCTAGAAATATTTCTTTAAATATCTTAAAACTTGAATTACCTGGATTATTAATTTATAAAACAAAGGGTTCAATATCTAAGTCTGTAAAATTTATCACGTACATATTGTTTTTAAATTAGAAAAATATTTGAAAGAATTAGAAAGTCTATGAGATGAAGTATTTTCATGTATAAAAAGTGAATATTCATAATTCACTTTTATATATGCTTTCGAGGACTAAAATTTAATACTCTAAGGTAATGTTATGACAAATATAAGAATGTGTTATTTTACCTAGCAGGTGGTAGACTTATAAAACTCATTATTTAAAGAGGTTCACATGCTGAAATTACAGACGCAAAAAATAAACTTTAGATAAATTCAAAGAAGAAAATTATAATTTTTAAAAAGAGAATCTAATGTGATATATATATATGTATATACATATACAATTTTAGATTTATAATTAAAGTCCACAGCAGGCCTCAAGAAGTAATGTCCCTATCAGAAAGAATACTAGACTGAATAAACCCAGTTGGAAATTCTTATTTAAGAACTAAGGTAATCTTTAAGTTTATATAGAATAAATCATTGCAGAATTTTTCAAATCATTTATCTACTACTTAACTCTCCTTTCCAAAGAGGTATTCAGTAATCCCTTTAATTCAAAACTTTTTCTTTTCATTGACAGAAGGGTAATACTCAACTCCGTTATAAACCTCTCCAGAGCTGTGTGAGCAACTCCATGACATACCATTGTTTCTGCCTTTTTACTCCAAAAATTAAGTTCCCATGTTTTTTCTACAATAGGGATGTAACTGATATGTTATTCTTGCTATAGGTTATAATAGTCAAAGGCCCAGGTATTGGAACCAGACTGCCTAGATGCCAATATGCATGGCCCTTGGCTGCTGTGCGTCTGAGTTTAAGTAGATTGCCCAAGTTGAACAATCATGGAAAGGACAGGGAATGAAGCATTTAGCGGCTCAGACTAGAAGAGTTTTTCATAATCATGTACATGGCAATATTTATTAGAGATATTTGTCTCTGTCATTGACCTAGGTACATATTAATACTTGCTATACTACTATAGTAATACCTACTAAGATACTATTATCTGGTGAAGTCTTTCATTATCTCAGCCTTTGTTAAGAATCAAATGAGAAAGATAGAATACCATTTATGGGGTGAGAAGCAGCTAGCTACACCTTAGCTGGCCTCTGACTGGGATTCTCCTTTCTCTAGGCAGAATAAGCAACTCCGAGGATGAGTTTTGTGAAACTAGTCATGTTAGTCTTATGTGTTCATGGAATCAAACTTTTGAAAACAAAAGATTTAAATTACTTCTTTAATTCATGAGGCTCAAGGAGCAGAACGAAAAGAGTGTTTGCAGGAAATGCATGAATTTTACAGGTAGCCAAGTAATGAAGCAAGTTATAAATGACAATCGAATGGCAAAGCACATGCTACCGGGCCAAGCCTATTAAATTACATTAAAGTAAAGATTCTTAGTCACTTTCAAAAGGAATCACCCATACCTGAACAACTTTTTGGGACTGCACATCAACAATCAGGACTCTGTCCAAAGTTGGCTGTGCTGCATAAATGAATTTGTCTTTGACATTAACAGCTGAGGCCCACACACATGTCTGAACATCATCTCCTTCAGCTTTGGGACAGACTTCATCCTGTAATTTAGAAAATAGAAAACTAAAATGAGTGTCTTAAATTATAACGAGCCATGGCATATTCTGGATGAAATTAATTGATGCTTTACTACTTTTAGCATCAAATGAAAATATATTAATTGATAAATATTAATAAAGAGTTAAATCAATCAAAATAGTCTATAGTGCATATTTAAGCTCATTAGAAATTAATGTGAATGCTAAGTGGTTATTCAGAATGTTTACTTAATTTTTCAATTTGGCATCAAGATCAAATTTTGTAAAATCCTTCAATTTTCCCAAGCCTTTTTATTCTACTCTTTTACTCAAGAACTGCCTTCTGGTTAAATATTACATACTTTGCACTGGATAGCCATAAATGAGGCAAAAAATGCCTTCTATTTCTTCCTTTCCTGCACTTTGTCAATAAATGAATATTGAAGGGATATGTAAGTCTTTGTGATTTACACTGGCAGATGCATCACAAGTATAAGAAATGTCATTTAGCTCATTATTTTTGTTTCAGATTTTTCTTTTATTCACTGGTTTATTGATTTTATAATTCTTTCAACTTACTTATAGTTAGAAAAACCACTAAGAAGAGATTTGTTAAACTGTACATAAAATGTATATGTAATAATAAATATTTATATGATGATATATGATGATTTATATGATGATATACATACTGATGTATGTATTTCACTTGTTTTTTGATATAGGTCTGATCATTGATTACTGATATCTAATTTATTGATTGGCATATTCTAATTAGTAACTCAAGCTAAATTAGAATACTCTCTTCTCTAACTCAAATAAAAACCTCATCATTCATCAGAGATTCCATTCGTCATAAATAATCATGAAACAAAATCAACAAAGTTTTCATTATCAACACCACTAAGCATGTCTATTAATCTAAACATCATACTGACAACAGATAAACCTCATGTGTCATTTGATGGTTAAAATGAACACCTGAACTATGTAACACTTCTCAAGCAGCACAACCATAGTGGGTGGTTTCCCTGTTTGTATAAAATTTGGAAAATAATGTAAAAACCAGAGCACTCTGAAATGAGAAGTTCAGGATGTGGTCTGCTGTTTTCGTTCTCCAAAGTTCAGGTCCCATTCGGGGAGGATCTGAAGGGCCTACTAAATTTTAAAGTCCAGTTCAGAAGTTGACAAATTCAGCCAGTACACCAAGAACAGAGAGCAGTAATGTCTTCTAAACAGTACAGGCTGTTCCAGGCTTCGAGGACAAAAAAATAAGTAGATTAAATAATTAAATTTTTAAAAAACCTTGAAAACTAAACATCTAATGTGTGCTTCTGGTAATGTTGGAGGTATGAAATGACCTTCATTTCATGGAATGTTCCATAGTCATTTTAAGATGGCCACCTGTGGGGTTATCCTGATAAGAGCCCATGGCACCTGAAGCAGGCAGGGGCAGGAGAACCTGAAGGCAGGGATCTGTCCTCAGCACATGCCCAGATATAGAGAGCAGAAGTGTACTTTCATTCATCAATTTACTGAAATGTTCTTTTCTATGGCTAATGTTTTTTATCAGAAGAATATTAAATATTTTTGACAAGAATTCATTTTGTGGAAATCAAACACTATATAAAATATGCAATTGAGATTTAAATCACAAATAAAGAGACATGAAAGAGACAAGAAGAGACATGAAGAGACAAGAAAAAAGTGGGAGCTAAGGTTGACGAAAGGCCCAGAATATAGGGAAATTGTTTACAAATTTTTTGCCATTGTGTAACAGCTACCAAAGAAACCTGCCAAAATAACAGAAAGTGTGAGTGACCTGAGACATAACTGTCAGCCCAACAACTGCTGAACCAGGAGCGATTTCCACTCCTTTGTTTGCTACAAAACTATTCAACAGTAAAATAAATGGCTCTGCTGGGAATTATTTCCTATTTGTATGCTGTTCCCATAAAATGTCCCTGACCGGACTCACAATCATTTTTACAAAGCCATTAAAAGTTTCCTGAACTGTCATCCTGAATTTTCTTTGCCTTGCTTTATGCCATTATTTCTGATTATAGTCTATTAGGTCCCATTTTACAATAGCACTCTTATTTTTCCAGCTTACATGGATTAATATTTATTTCTGTGAATAAAATTATAGAGGAATGTTTTCACATGCATTAGGCATTTAATGGGATAAAAGAGTAGCTAAAAAATACCAGAGGTGCAAAATAAGATTAAGATAATACATACTGATGAGGGAAATTGTAAGGATTATATCAGAGAGTATCATTAAGTTACTTAGTATAGAAATGTATACTATCATTTAGAGTGAAAGGAATTAATAAGATAATAGAAGTAATGAGGATGAGAGTCAATAAGAAAAATACAATTCTAGTTCATAATTAGAATTTATCTATTTCCCTTTGGATTATTTCCATATTTAATTATATATTTCCTGTGTATGTATTAACCTCTTTAAAAATGTTAAAGGAATACAAATTACTCGTATATTATTACTGATGATGGAAGTTTGATTTAGCAATTAAAGTAATATTAATGACACTTGATTTGCTAAACATAAGTAGATGAATATATGCACTCATCCTCTGTAGAAATTTGTCATTTTTATTTATTGTATTGATTGTCTACTGAAAATACTTTGCCTTTAAATTTCCAAATTCCCATCTCTCCCCCTTCTTCTCCCTTTTCCTCTTCCTCTTCCTGTTTCTCCTCCTCCTCCTCCTCCTCCTCCTTCTTCTTCAGAGTCCCCCTTTGAGCACACCATTCATGGAAGGGACAAATGCTTTCTGTCATACGTAACTCCATTTTCTTTGCAGCCAGTTCAAGTTCTGTCGTCACCCCCACCTCTCATCGTTCTCTAATCATAGATTTGTTCACTGTCCTTTGCCTTTGGAAAGAATTGCCCTACATTTCATTTATAACTTTAGTATGTCTCCACATACTCAAACATGCACACTCTGTTTTATTTAAGAAGCATACAATAAAACAATGTTAATTGGCTTCATCTGCTTTCACTTTGAATCACATATCTAATTCTCCTCAGACTTTACGCAAGCTGTCTAGAACTTTACTTCCATTTCCTGGTCTTTTGTTGTAATCTCTTTATGCTGCAAACTGATTTTCATGATCCTGTCTTTTTTAAAAGAGGTGTCTTGAAAAGTCACCAGTGGCCTCAGAATTTCTCATCCTAAGTCTTCAGTTCTTGCGGAAGCATTTTTGAGCACTTTCTATGTGAAAGATATTGTGCAAAGCTATGTATGTAAATAAAAACATGAATATGAGAGAACGGCTACAAATTGCTTATAATTTCTGCTGTATTTGGCTGTTTCAGATAATTAATTCTTCACAAAATGTCTTTTATTCTTATAAGGCAAGGAGCAGCAACCAAGAACCCCAGGCCAAATTTAACTGCCTATTTTGATATATGGCCCAGGAAATCAGAATAGTTTTTTGCATTGCTGAAAATTAACAAAAGAAGAATATTATTTCATGACATATAAATATTATATGGAATTCAACTTTACGTGAATGAAGTTTATTGGAACACAGCTATAACCATTTATTTAAATACTGTCTATGACTGCTTTCATGCTGTAATGCCAGACAAAGGCCATGTGGACTGCAAAATCTACCATATTTACCATATCTGGACCTTGGCAGAATAAACTGTCACTGAACAGGAGTTCTGGGATATGTCCCTATACTAGTTATCATTTTAATCCTATTGATTAAAATTCTGTCTATAATGGCTTCTTTATCTTCTGTTCTCTGTGACTTCAAGAAAGCTAAACCTCAGATTTTGGTTTTCTGCTCTATTTCCTTTACATTAAATTTCTCTGAGCGGTTGTTCATTCTTATTATTTGATTATTAAGATGGACAGGTGACATTCAGGCCTTCTGCATTTGGTCTCTTTCCAGAAAACACACACACACACACACACACACACACACACACACACGCACACACAGTTTAATGTGCAATTTGAAATGAAGACATCGTAGAAGAAAAAAAGTATACTATTTTAATAAAAGTAGTAAAGGTGATTCAAAATTAAATAGAAAATAAATCAAGAAAAGACAAAATATACATGCACACACACATGATGACATGTAGACAAACAGGTAGATGATAGATACAATAGATAGGTAAGAGATAGATAAATAGATGACATAGATAGATAGATGGCATCTATTATCTAGAGGTAGATAATGAGGCTTGATTTACATTAGGAAAGTTTAAAGACCTTAGCAGTTCTATAAAATAATAGGACTATTAGACAGTAAATCTATGCACAGACTGTAATTATAGTTGATATATAAAATATCCTCTCTATAAAACAAAGTTTAAAAGTAGATTTAATAATCTAAAGTACTAGGTTTAGTTGAAGGATAACAAAAGCACCCAAAAACCAAACTAATTAAACATTAATAAGTTAGGCTTCTCTAAGACATAAAGAAAAGTAAATATCTGATCTTCTGCATAGCTTGGGATACAAATGCATTATGTAATATACATAGTTGTGAATGAAAATGAATTGGCATTGGTATTATAATGAAGGTAGAAATATGTAACAAATAAGGTGACCTAAGGTGTATGTAAGGGCAGACCCCCAAAAAACCAGAATTCTCCTCTATGGGTGCCTTGTAGTACAGGCCTCCCCCACTAGGTATATGTTCTAGGAACCCATCTGTATCAATGGACTGGCTGGTGGTGTTCTGAGAGACAGCATTAGGCTTCAGTGATTTTGTGATTTTTTTTTTTTTTAAAGTTCTTTCAATGCCTCTGCCCATTCATGATGGGTGATTTCGAGTGCACCCGCCCACACCACACTGAGTGTTCAGCAGTTTTTGACCAAAAATGGCATGATTTCCATGCCTCTCTCTCTCTATTTACCTGATCTCGCCTTGAGTGAATTCTTTGTCTGTTCATTTGTTTCCCCAGGTGAAATAAATCCTAAAGGGAAACATATCACTAATGTGGAAGGGGTGAAACTAAAAATGGCAGAAGCACT